GTCAAAGTGTTTCCTAGTCCCGGGAGGTGTTTCCTTTCATATAGTTGCTTATAAACACTATATTCATGCCAATATATGTCAATATATGTCATTTAGGACTTGTTGTGTCTCGGAACTTCATTCGTGGAACTTCTCATCCTTACACGCATACCCGTTTGAATCACCCACATCAGGTGAGTTCATACCCTGTAATGAATCTTTTAACTGTTTTTAAATGTTTTAAGTGGGGGAATACAAGTTGAACACAATGATAATTGTGTAACTGTTTGTTATGAACATCTTTCAAAATGTTACTTATGTCATTTATAAGTTGTCAAAACATTTCAAAAACTCTTTTTAAAGTTATGTTACTTTATAGTTATACAAAACTCCGTTTTTAAAGTACAAGCATAACTTAGTAGATAAACGAGTCTTTTCAATAACAGTTCAAGTAAAACTTTAGTAAACTATAATAGGTATAGTTTAGGAGGATGCTATTCATTACTTCTAGTACAACGAAGCATACAAAGAAACAATAACATACAGAGAGAGATACTATATTGAGAAACAAACAATACCATAAAGAACAAACATACTAAGTTGCTATAGCATGGAACTACTACAGGATCTAATTATACCAATGAATCACTAACTCATTGTTTTAAACAAAAGGTGATAGTTATATTGGGTATACATGATCATATAACTTCAATGTGAATTACACGGCTTGCAAGAATTTGCAGAGGTCGCGTTTGGTTCCCTTAATCTCTAGACAAGGAGAACGTTTAGTAGGGGTACTAGCCTTCACATTATGGCCATAATAAAACAAACATGTTTTAGGTCATCAGTACATCCGCATATCATAATAAACGACAACTGTGTACTTACATTTCCCATTACTTTCATAAAGTGACAGTACCACTTGAAATTCAAATGCAAACTATTTTCGAGTTAAGATGTTTATAAACTAGAGAAAACTTACATTTTTACAAACGACAAACAGAACAGTCAAGTCTAGCACATAACAGTAGATGCCTTGGTAGAAGGCTACGTTTAAAAGAAAGGACCATAATGCTAACCTTATGATTCCTTAATGTATAGATCAAAGGATATATATATACCAATAGGATCCGACAGGTAATAGGATGTGTGCTCTCCGCTTCACTTCCTGTTCCTTGTTTGGTTGTGGGCTTGGAACGAATTCACCCAATCTATTTTCTATTCGATTCTATATATATATATATATATATATATATATATATATATATATATATATATATATATATATATATATATATATATAGGGAAAGGATCAAATGAGAACACCTAAAAAGTTGAGAACGCGAGAACACTTCTGGACCAATCATATTATAAGGCTATATTAGTAATTCTGTATTTATTTTAAATTCAAACAAATTAAATTCAAATCTTAATTTCCTAAAATTTTGCGATAATGATTATCTACCCAAAATAGAATATGAACCGATTTTTTTTATTTCTTTTATTAATGGACGATAAATATAATTTATATTATTTTTTTGTAAAATAAAAAATCCTTTTTTTTCTAATTTTTATTCATCAAAATATTTTCAATCATATATGACTAAAACATTTGTAATTATAAAAACATATATTTGTAATCCTAAATAATAAATCATAATTTAGAGATAACATTTATAAATGAATAAAAATAAACTACTAATCATACATGAATATTCTAACAAATAAAAAAAATCAACACATTCAAAATTATATTCATCAAATAAAAATTTCAAAGATTGAGTTTATACATTTATATAATTATATTCATAAAAGAATATGCCAAAACTAGTTTCATACATTTATACATAATTATATTCGACAATGATTAAACCACTTCAAATGAAACTTTTTTTGCAAAATTCATCCCTATATCAGCTATTTTCTTGAATTGGTCGCAACCCCTTCCTTGTCTTTGAATCAAATGGCTCGCAATCTTGTGTAACGAGCAGGAGCAGACACGATATCTAAAAAATTCTAGCATTCCTTTTTCTTTGATTAATATCTACAAAAATGACAATAGCATGTAAAGACAATAAAAAGACCAACAAAATATTAAAATGAATGATTAGTAGAAAAGCATACGTTGTTATAATCATAAATGATTATTAACAACCATGTTTATAATCATAAGTGATTATACAAAATACACATCAGCATAACAAGTGTAATCATGGATGCTTCAGTCCATCCTAACCCAGCCCGCAAAAAGGAAAATGTAATTGGCATTCAATTGCTTAACCAAAACAAGCACTACAATAAAAATATACAACTACTACGATTCAAATCATTGATTTGCGAGGGGAAGGTTAAAAGCGTATTAAAGCTCCATGTCACCACAACCAAGCTTCTGGATCACCTTGCACAACCCAAAATTATAATTTAACACTAATCCAAACCAGGGAGTCGATCTTGTTGCTTGATTCCACAATCAGAATCCAAAATTAGTGTGGAATAACACAGAACAAAAATTAGGTTGTAGCAGTAAAATGAAATCGAACGTACCACGTGACGCATGGACGTTGTGAGCACTCGATCTTGTTGATGTTCGTAATTAGCCCTAGGTAGGGTTCTTCTAAAGGCACCACTATCAGAAGGATTCTGAAATTCATCTGTTTGGGTGGATGAAAACGAAAACGAAAACAAAAACAAGGGGGTTATGATAGGCAATCGAACGTACCACCTTGTATCATCGGCGAAGACAGAGGCGATGCTTTTTCATGCTCCGACTGTGAAAGTGGTTCGTGGATGGCGGCGACGCAAGTCGATAATACTAGAGTGAGTCGTAGGTTTAGTTATAGAGAGAGAGAGATTGAAAGATTTTAGGAGTTGTTAAAAATAAGGGAATGGTTAATTACACTGATACCCTTTTCATAATTTTAATTCAAATTAATTGAATTTAAACATTTTACTATTAACAAAATTTCTAATTAATTATAGCCTTAGATCTAAGATAATAGATGGATGATATCTGTTCTCGCGTTCTCAACCTTTTAGGTGTTCTCATTTGATCCTACTCCTATATATATATATATATATATATATATATATATATATATATATATATATATATATATAATATATATATATATATATATATATATATATATATATATATGCTCTGTATACATTAAGTCATCATAAGGGTATCGGGTATGGGTCGAGTCATAGAACACAGAGTCAATGCACAGTTTTCTAGTACAAAACATACTTTCCAAATCAGAAACTTTGGTATACAAAACTAGAAACTTCCCAGTAAAGGGTTTAATCCATTTTATTAAACCAGTATAAACTTAAAGGACCTTAGGTGATTAACTCTATGATACTTTAGTTTATACATCATGGTTATATATCACTAATACCCAAATAGGTGGTTGGATGTGTGTTTTCCGCCTTACTTCCTGTTCCTTGTTTGGTTGTGGGCTTAGGGCAGATTCACCTAATTAACCTTCTATCCGATATTAGATCATATATATCAAGTATAAACTAAGTTATTATAAAAGTGATTATTGTGGTTACCATTTTATTATAAGAAATAAGGGTTTTCTTAAAGAATCTTTTCATTAAAAGGGACAATTACAATTAACTCCATGAGTAACAGGCGAATACCCTAGGGTTATATACCACAATGATCAAACAACCAATGGGATGTGTGCTTTCCGCCTTAGGGCAGATGCGCACAATCGATTGTTTGTTTACTCTGAGTCTTATATAACTTGTATCCGTTTAGTACTCATAGAAGGGATTGTAGAGTCATTTTTACTTATCTTTCATTAAAATAGGAAATATAGGATTTTCTAGAGGAACAGGCGAACTTTTCTAAACAGAACTTACAACTTACAACATTTTACAACTTACTACATTTTCAACTACATTTTTTAACTACATTATACAACTTACTTACATCACTAAAATCTTATGAACTCACCAGCTTAATTGCTGATCAACTCTTTCAAATAACTTGTATTCTCAGGAGACTAATAGACATGTACTCGTGCTGGGAATTCAGAAGATGGAGCATAGTAGCTTCAAGTCTTGTTTTATTATTTGCTTATGAATTCTATGTTTTGTGAACACACACTTTGTAAACAGTCTCTTTCAAATGAAATAGTTGTTCATTACTGGCTTACTATATATATATCTTGTGATACTAAACATGACGTCCTCCACCCCCGAATGATTACGCCGTTCCGGTTCTAGGGGTGTGACAAGTAACCTGCTACAAAAGGTTAAAATGGTTAAATTGAATACAATAGTCGGTTTCTTGTCCTTTTTCATTAATGAAATTTAATTTAGAACTAGATCATAAATTGGCCCAAAACTTTAGGATTTTTTTGGAGATTTCCCTTAAATAAATGTCACCTCATATTAATTAATTTTATTAATAGATTAATTAATGCACGTAATAGCTTTCTATTTGTGATTTTCTCTTTCCATTAATATATTAATTAATGTATATGTATATTAATGTAGATAGTACATTCTATTTGTAATTCATATTAAAAAAAATTTATTAGTATATATTAATTAAGACCAAATTACATGAATGGTCCATATAGTTTACCAAAGGTTATAACTCAGTCGTTACTTATTTTTTTATGAACATGGACCTTATGGTTACCAAAACTTACGTGAATGGTATTTTTTTGCTCACACAGTTACTTTTGGCCCTTTTAATAAAATGTCTAATACACAGGTCTCACACCTAGTATATAATTGTTAGCGAAAATATTTGTTTCACTTTTTGATAAAAAAAAGTTTTTATAATGGGAAGTTCCCAAATGACGGATTTTTAAAATTTTTTTTTTTGTGGAAATACGAGGGTGCACGTAGGTGATCTGTGTGGAGAACGGGGGTTGTCAAAAACATGTATGTTCATTCGATTTGAGTCGTTAAAAAGGCCATCTATTAGGTTTTATGCATGGAAGAATTTAGCACGTTCCTATATATAGATCTGAACTTCACGTTATAGCACAAAAGAAATGACATCGGGCAGTGGTAGTGGTTTAGGGTTGAAGAAAGGTGCATGGACTGCACATGAAGATATGCTTCTCAAGAATTGTATTGAGAAATACGGCGAAGGGAAATGGCACCTTATACCTCTCAGAACAGGTAATGATACATTGCAAGCCTTATCATGTTAGAAAATGCACCTCCCATATTTTTTGTCAGCTTGAAAAGTACAATTAATATGAGCTTTCTTTGTTATGTGTTAATATTTTACGCGTGATATTTACAGGGTTAAATAGATGTAGAAAGAGTTGTAGGCTACGATGGTTGAATTATCTGAGGCCAAATATAAAACGAGGTGATTTTGCTGAAGATGAAATTGATCTCATGCTTAGGCTTCACAGGCTTCTAGGAAACAGGCAAGCGAAATTTAAACATAAATCGACAAAAAAAATAATAAGTGAATTAAAATATGAAATTAATTATTTGTTTCCATTCATTTATGGTGTATTAAAAAGTAGTTAGTTTTGACTTTAATTTTAGATGGTCACTGATCGCGGGAAGAATTCCCGGACGAACTGCTAATGACGTGAAGAATTACTGGAACACTCATATTCAGCCTCGTTCCAAACAACATAAGAAAGAACCTGATGCCGATGAATCTCTACAAGACGCTACACTCACCATTATCAAGCCTCAACCGCATATCATCTCCAAAACCATAAATATGTGCATGACTGACAACCGACAAATTGTCTCTCCTGGTGGTGGTAACCTTACAAGAACATCAAATGCAGGTGCCAACAACAACTTTAATGTCTCCTCCCTCACACCAAATGTACTAGACGACAAGATTAACCAATATCTCCAAGAATTATTTGATGATGGTGAAGTGGAACTTGAAGGAGACATTGGATGGTCCTTTGGTGAATTTTCGGCGTAGGTAGAGGCCTTAAATGTTGTTGATCAAGAAGATGACAACAATAGTGCGCAGGTAGAGGCCTTACATACTGTGGGTCAAGAAGATGACAACAATAGTTTCTTTGATTTCTCTCTTTATGAGGTCATGTGGAACCCAATCGATTCACACCAACTATGATTTTCAGAACGTCGATTAACTCGTCGCCATGCATGTAATAAATGGAAAAAATAAAGTAAGTACTGTGTGTATCAAATATTATATAAAATGTGTAATATATTTTATATGGAATACATTTTGGTGAAGTTTGAAGAGTGTGGTAAGATCGATATGACTTGTGAGACAATTCTTTTAACCTCAAGTGGAATAAAAGAACAAGCAATAAAGATTCACAAAATTTTGAACCGAAATTAAATGGAAATGTGAACTTCTAATTTCACTACAGTAACCGACACCTATGTTATCGCTACAAGTGGAAAAATTCGGCGGGATAGGTACCCCTGTACCAACGACAAGTCGTTGGTATAGGAACCTCGCACTACTAGAACTTGAGGTATAAGCGACGGACCTTTTTGTCGCTAATTCGTCGCTAAAGACTATCAGCAACGGATTAGCTACAAAGTTGTCGGTGGAAAAACCCTTGTCGTTAATTGTTTATGACGGGTTCTGCAACAGATTCAACAACGGATTAGCGACTGATTTGCGATGAAACAAAACTCTCAGGAAACCTCAATATTATGTCGTTAATCCGACGTTGTTGTCTGTCGCTGATAATTACAAAATGAACAGTTTTTTTGTTTTAACAATGGTCTATTATGTGTCGAATCTGTCGTTATTCCATAACAATAATTCCCAAATGTAATTAAAAACTTATACCCCAAAATCAAAATATTAATATTCGACGACCCTAATAAATATTAATACTTGATTAGCAAAATAAAAATTCATGTTCGATTTCAATGTACTGAAAACAAATTACATAAATCAAACGTGTCAAAGTGTAATTAGATGGATAGGTTATTTCCTTGGAACTTTTGGATTTTGTTATTAGTTTGGCGATTTCTTGTTTTTTTGCCTCAATTTCATCGCATTCCGCCTTAAGCTCTTCATCTCCTTATGGATATGATCAATAATAACCTACAAAACAACAATAACCAAGTTTATATAAAAATAAGTATCAGACTATATCATTCAATTAATAGCAACATAATTTTAACTTAATAAACACACTATAAACAATTAATAGCAACATACTTTAAACATGAAAAAGAACTATAAATATTAAAAGTAACAATAAGCCAGTTTAAAAGGGAGCAAAATAATAACATGAAAGTAAATAAATACATTTTGTTGTTTATTACATATAGAAAAATAAAATAAAAAGGGGCGAAATAAAGATATTTCACCTTAGCAATACAAAGAAATTGTAACGTAAATTTTAACTCCTTTGCATAAACTCCAATGTAGGTAAAATTTCATGTCTCGAGTATAAATAAATGCTAACATGTAGTTTATATAAATAATGTTCAATAAATTACAAAGTACCGGAGGAGGTAAATAGTAATATGAAATGTTGTGGAAAGAGATAAATTACAATGTACTAGAGATAGAGATGTAAATTAAAATGTACCCAAAGAGATAAACATTGTAGCATAACTTCTTCATATGAAGTCTGCTTTGAATGTTTCTTATGTCTCCGGAATCCTTCTGACCTATGCTACAACTAGGTTAAGATTATTTGTCCTAAGTAACCTTTTATCTTCGACGAGTATTTTAAATTTTATTTATTTTATTATTAAATACACCTAATATCATGTAGAACACGTAAGCATATAAATATATGAATAATCTTTTCTTATTCATTCATATAAACATTATAATAGTTGACCAAAGTGATTACAGACTATGACTTAATCAAGAAGGAAACACGGGCGTTACACGTAATCTTTTGATCTCACTTAATATTCTTTCAATTTCATATGATTCTATTTTATTTGATATAGATGATGCTTGTTCTTACTTAAATGATTTGTTGATTTCTTTGATTGGTAATTTCTATAAAACAAAGACAGAGTTGTTTGAGGTTAACAATAAGATTGAAGAGAAAATGTATATAATATAATTTTAATATGAAGTTGACTAATGTTACTCTGGGTAGAGATTTTGTTAGAATGGACAACATTTTTTCAGTAAAACAAAGTAATATCTACTGTAATACTACGTAGCGTTTGTATGGAAAACTTACTTTGTAATATCATTCATCATAAATATGCGAAGAAGAACATAGGAAACTATTACCATTTATCACATTTAGGAATGAATCAATTGATGAAATATCTTTTGAGTGTGAGAGTAGTGTTTCTATGTTTGATTAGATAACAAATGATTCATCTGCTTATGGAATTTTAAATGTCGACGAATATTTGGATGCTGATGATTTAGTGAATATTGTAAATGATACGTTGAGAAAAAATGAACAAATAAATATTTTAAATAAATATTAATCTTTGGCACAAAGTAATCGAGTAGATTTTACTGATATCGAAGATGATTCTAACAATATTAGTGAAATCAAAGAAGAAGAATGTGTTGATTGTTCAAATTTTTCGATCATAAAAATTAATTTAATAACTCGAAGTGATGAAAATCTTTATGGATCAGGACAGATAGATTTGTGCGATTCGGGTTCTGAAGTCAAGTCTTTGTGGGAACGGTTTGTAATGGTTTTTGTCTGTTTCGGAGTAAGACAATGATCAGGGTTTTTCAGTTTCAGGCATAGCGGTTAGACATTCGTTGGGGCTTGTGATTTCTGCTAAATTGGGTTCGACAGCAGTAAGGGTGGGCGGTCGTCCAAGTGGAGTGACTTCTCCAGTCATATTTAGGATTCAGGGAGTTCGGTCAGGATTGTTTGGTTTGGCAGAGGAGATAGTAATGAATGATTTCGAGGATGAAATCTAATATAAGTGGGGGAGAGTTGTAAACCTGTTTCGAGTCGTTTCAAAATTCGGAGGCGTGACCCAAAGATCAAAAATCATAAGGCTATGGGCCTTAGCAAATGAGAAATTTAGACCCCTTGGATGTGAATAATGTAGATCAGGTGATCCGAGAGTTCGGTTTGAGTTTTGGAGCCCAAGGGTATAAGCGTAAGTGATAGTTCCGACCTTTTATGAATTTTGTATTTATCTCGGGAAGTTTTAAGGTAATGGAGAGTTGATAAAATTATAGGGCTTCTCATTACCTTTCTATGCATATAAAGAACGTAGAAAGAAGAAGTTATGGCCTTCGGAAGATTGGTGGTTTTAGTCCTTGGCCGAGTACGTTGGGTGTACGCTATGAGTACGTTAGGCGTACTGGGTCGAAGTTGTTTGCGGATGAAACCCACATACGTTGGGTGTATGTGGAGGTACACAGGTGTACGGTTACCAAGGGAAAAATCCTAATTTTTAGGGTTTCTGCCCTATTTAAACATCTTAATTCACTTTTTTACATTCCTATGACCAGCCTCTACCTCCCCAAACCTAAGAGCGAAACCCTAATTGTCCTTTGAGTGTTTTTAGCTTAGAAGTGAACTTTGAGGGTGTTTTTGCTGATTTTGGAGGAAGAGGAACTCTTGGCAGTTGCATTGGTGTGGCTAGAGCTTGTGGATCAAGAATCATCATCAACGTGGAAAGCTTTTTGAGGTATAAAACTCTTAACTTGATGGTTCATTTTGTTAGATCAATTTAGAGCTTGTTTTTGTGCTTTTTATGGTCCTTTAAGTCATGCATGAGAGTATGAGCTACACCAAAAGATAAGGATGATATATCTTAGCATTTTTGAGGTTCGTTGTTCATAAAAATGCAATCTTGATGACTTATATTGGACCATGCATGCGTTAGGGTGCTTATTAGGGATTTTGTTGAGTATTAGGTCCCATTAAGAAATGCAAAGGCGTAAAGTTGCCAACTTTACGTGTTAAGACATCATTTAGGATCAGATCTGAGAATTGGACATAATGGTTTAACTGATTAAGCACTTGTAATGCTCTATTCCAAATCGATACCCATTTGGGTGTGGGTGATGAAATGTGGATAATTCGGGCATTTGGATTTGGTTTTGGAGCCAAGGGCTATTTTGGTAATATGGCAGTGGGCTTTTATGGAAATTGTATTTTCATTCAAGGAATTTAATGGAAAATATGAGTTGATAAAAGTGTAGAGCTTCCCATTACCTGTTCATGGATATAAGGATCGTCGGAATCGGATTTGTAACGAAGAAGTTATGGCCTTCGGAGTATTTTAGGGTTTAAGAAGGAACCCTAGTATGTGGGGTGTACACAGGGAGCATGTAGGGCGTACTAGTGCGAAGGGTTGTATGCTGGGTGTACATTGGCGTACACTTAGTGTACCCGGAAGGATTGATCGCAAGTCTCGGCCTCGTATGCTAGGCGTACGAGGAGTACGTTGGGCGTACGAGGGGTGTTTAAACCCTAATTTTTGGGCAAGTGTTCCCTATTTAAACATATTAAGTCTTTAGGGCTGGCCTCTTTACCAGCCCCCAAACATCCTAAAACCCTAAATCGACCCTTTAGCCTCTTGGTGGTGTTCTTGAGCTATTAAGAAGACTTTGGTGCTTATTTTTGCCTTGGTGGAGGAAGTAGAGAAGCTTGAGGTTGCTTTGCTTGGTGAAAAGGCTTTGGATCCAGAATCATCATCTTTTGGGAAAGCTTTCTGAGGTATCAAGTTTACATCTTGGCTTGTGTATGTTTAGATCTCTTCATGGTTAGTTTATTGTGATTTTGGTCTCCTTTTTGGGTTTATGGATAAGTGAGGTTGTTTAAGGGCTTGTTCTTTAAGATCTGAGTTTGTTTTGGTATCCTTAAGCATAAAGGTGCAACCTTTATGTGTATTTTGGTGTCATGCATGCATTAAGTCAACTATTAAGTCCCTTTTTAGCTTAAGAGCTTCTTTTAGCCATGTATTAACGTAAAGTTGGGAACTTTAAGTGATATTCCAGCTCAAGGAAGTCAGATCTATGTTTTGGAG